ATTTTGAAATTGGTTTGTATCCACTGAACTTCTGTTCTGTTACAGGTTTAAGCCAGTTTCTGATCACTTAAACTGGTTTAATGTGTAACTTCTGTCCTAGCCAATATGGCAGAGGGGTTGTGACTTGATTCTAACTACAGGGGGTTAGGGTTAAAACGCAAAGGGTTTTACATGCAGTACCTTGTTAACTTACTAGCCCATGCTAGTTTCACACTACTCACCCACCTGACTTTGCAGCTACTGCCCCACAGCTGCAAATGGATTTATTATGTTTCATCAGAAGTGAAGAGTATGAGACCTGGGTGTTGAAAAATATAAAGCTATTTCTGAAAGGTTTTAGTAGGAACTAGGGATAACCCACTGTCTGGGGAGAGAATATCAATAACAAACATTAGTGAACAGTTTATACTTGATTATATTTGAAGCTGTCTTTCAAAAGGAAAAAGGACAAGAACACTTCTTTTCAAATTTAAACATGAAATCTAGGACTAGACTTGGCATTTCTAGGTCCCTCTTGGAATTATATATGTCCCAATCAAAAACATTTATGAATCCCAAAGAACGGTTCTGTTTGTACCCCTTCAAAACAGAGCTTAATTATGACTCTCATATTTTCACTTAGTTATTTTTAGATTTATCTTTGCAATTTGCTGTTCTTGATTGCAATCAATACTTCCCATTTATATAGCAATTGGCCTCTAAGGATGCAAAAGCGATTCACAGACACTAAGCCTCAGAATAAATTTATAATTTGAAAATAATACCTGTTTTACAGATGGGTAGACCAAGGCACAACAAAGAGGTTTGCTCACTTATCCAAAGCTTTCTCTTTTATGCCAGTACCCTAGCACATTTTTCTGTACATGCATAACATTATTTTGCTAAATAATGATTTCTCTACTAATTATGCCTGGAGCAAAAGAAAGCTGTTTTAGGATTACCGCGCTATTTAACTTCAGCAATTTCTATTGTATGAAATTTGACATTGATAAAACAAGAACTGAACTACACCAGAAAGCAGCTATGGAACTTTTCCTAAATGCAGTTCTTAAAAAGTTATCCTTCACATGCAAAAGTTAAGAAATACAATACAAATATGTGATATTTATGAAGTAGCAGGAAGAATACTGCTTATTTGTCTTTTCCTTTACTAATATAAATGGGCTGGAGGGAAGGAGGGAGTCAAGTATTAGGAGAGGGGGAAATTCTTAAGGAATTTCAAATGGTATTTCAATGGTTTGTCATTCTTTGGCCATTCATTAGTTTATTGAACAGATAAATATCTGTAGCCATCTTTTATGAATAGAATCAATCCTAAAGATGATGATTTTATTTTTTTTTATATATATATTCATATTCTGGAAGCTTATCACTAAGCATAGTCTCTACAATCTAGCATAAGTGGCATGCCAATAAATCTACATGGTGAGACCAAACAGAACCTTATCCCCAATGACATCAGCAGGAGTTTTGCTATCTAATTCACTGGGCCAAGATTGTGTCCACTACATTTATAAATCTGTGCATCTTTTGATTTCACACACAGAATAAGTACAATTAAATCAGAACAATCACAAAGTGATAATTTTGTTTTGAAAATGCTCTGTCTGAATCAGCAACAATACATCAGTTCCAAAGTAAAGTTGCCATCACTTAAAATATTATTAGATGTTCATTAGCACTTACAAATACACATCTATTTTCTGCTTTAAAAGTCACTGCCAATACGCAAAGTGAACCTCCCCATCAGAAAAATCACCATAAACAGCAGCAGACTTGAGGAAAAGCAAAACATTGAATTTAAATAGTGAGGTTATAGGTCTGACTATGATCTTATTTCTGACTGTTTACAACAACAAATCCAGGTACAAAAAGATCCAAACTAGTTTTCAAAATCTACAGAAAAAATAAGTACATTCGCATCTGCCACTATTGATTTGTTAGCAGTAACATAAATTTGTGTTCAATTTTTAAAAACTCAGAATATCCACTAGTGTCAGCCAAACCACCGATAGGAAAATATCAAGTGTTCTGGTCAGGGCAGACACTTTAGAATTCAGTGCTTAAAGACAGTACTGAGAAATCCAAGGTGGTCAAATACACACCTGAAGTAACCACCACACTACAGGTTAATTACATCTATGTAATTAACATGCTTGTATGTTTCACTGGTTTCTCCCATTTAACTTTTATTTCCTAGTCATCGATTCTTCGGCAAAGAATGCTGGGAAAAAACTCCACAAGATAAAACTATTAATTCAGTGCCGTCAGCACAATCACTAGGAAAATGCAGCTGACGAATATACTGAAAATATTTTGCAATGGAATTTGGAGGCAGATTGATATTAGTCAGATATTTAGAATATGCCCTATTTTTAAATTGCAGCAGAGGTGTTGTCAATGCACGTGCGTCTCATTAAACAGGAAAAAATAGATTTTGAAAGTTTTTTGGCTAATTTTAATTCTTAAAGATCCTCTGATTTTAGTATCATTTGAAGTCAGTTGCACAAGCAGAATAAATGAATTGCTGCAATCTTGGACACTCTGGGGAGTACTAGCAATCAGCAAAGAAAAATAACTAAGAGGCCTCTGAGCAGCTGAGAGAGTTGTCTCCTACTTCAGTCCTCTCCTTGCTAAGGACCTGATCGTACTCCATTCAAGTCCGGAGGAGTTTAGCAGTTAATTACAATGGCAGCCCTAAAGACATGATTCAGCAAACCTCCTACTCACACCCTTAAATTTTATACAGGAGCAGTCCAATTGAAGTCAATTCCATTACTGAGATAGTAGAGTTCAACACAGGTGTGAGCATTCACAGGATTTGAACCTCTTAGAAGAAACCTTGTTCAGTACAGTGTGAGAGCAAGTTTCTGTTTACAAACATAAGCACACTTGTTAGTACAATCCCTTCCTGTCCCAAGGGTTACACCAGGGTTGCTGTCCTGCATGAGAGCTGTTGACTTGTAGGCTTCTATTTTTGTTGACTTACTCAGAATCAGAAAGAAGCAGAGCTGGAAGGGACCTCCAGAGATCATTTAGTACAAACCCCCTACATGAGGCAGGATCATCTGTATCCAAACTATCCCATACAAACCATAATCTAAACTTAATCTTTAGACCTGGAGAAGCCTCCCTTTCTTTTTCTCCAAGCCTTGCCCCTGATGAGCTTCCAAGAGGAAAGTTTCAGAGACCTAATTAGGCCTAAAGCCACAGGTTGGAGGGGCCAAACCTCAGGGTCACATTGACCAGCAGAAAGCATCTGGGGGCACCTTCAAACCTCCAGCCTGGGCACAGGCTACACATGTCAATGAAAGCTAGCTGGAAACCAACTGTGATGTTACTACACAAGTTCCAGCACACTTTCCCAGCTGGCTGAACCTCTCTCAGGCATCACAGTTAGTCTGCACATGCAGCCAATCCAAATGGACTGCACAATTAAGCAGGTAATGGCATAACAGATGTAATGGGGAGAGGGAGCCTTAAAAACACCTCCCTAAATCAGAGGTGAGAGGAGGATTACCCTAAGAAACCAGTGACTAGAGCCAACTGGAGTGACTCCCACCCCCAGGGGAGAGTCACCTTCAGAAGCCAATGGCTAGAGCCAACCAGAGTCACTCCCACCGGAGAGTCAGCCTCAGAAATCAGTGACTAAAGCCAACTGGGATCACCCCCTGCTTGCACCCCTTACCATAATGATACATCCTTCAGAGCTAGAGGACCCCCAAAAAGCAAAAGCCCAGGGAAGGGCAGAGGACGGTGGGAGTCAGCCCGCTGTCCTTGAAGCCACCTCCGTGGGGCCCTCTGGCAAGAACAGGCCGTGACAGCATCACTCATGAAGCCCTGCATCCCCTCCAACAGCACAGGCGATGTTCCTGCCCCCCAGACACCTGCCCTGAGGGGACAAGGGACCCAGTGGGCACCCCATTGAGCCCCACTGCAGGGAGGGGAGCAGGCCAAGGACTCTTACCCTCGCGGCCCGGGAGGAGTAGGGGTCCTCAAAGAGCGCCCACATGCGGGGCTGCAGCCGCTTCCAGCGCCCGCCCTTGGCATCGGGGGCACCGGTGGCGGCAGCAGCAGCAGCAGCACCCACGTCCTCGATGCCCAGGCGCTTGGCGGCCAGGTCATCATCGCGGTCAGTGCCATCGGGGGGCGGCTCGCCCGTGAGCAGGTCTGGAGCCTCGAAGATGTCGAGCGCCTCCTCGGCGTCGCGGTGCTGGCGGTAGGTCATCCAGCAGCAGGGCTCTACGTCCGTCTCATCGATGCCCCAGAAGGCCAGCTCCTCCTCGAAGAGCGGCCCGCACACGTCGGCCGGGCAGTGCAGCTTGCCCGTGCGGTAGTAGTTGAGCACGTAGGCGAAGACGCCCGGGTGCCGGTCGAAGAAGAACTCGGGGCAGCCGGGCTCGGGGCAGCCGCCCGCGGGGGGCTGCGGCGACGGCGG